ACATGCCAGGAGGAGCCGGGGATCGAACCAACAACCTTCCGATTGGGGGACGACCCGCTCTACCTCTGAGCCACAGCCGCCCCCAGCTGCCCAATAGGTTGTACTGTATGTACAGCAGCTTATGCAGTGGCCAACAAAAGATCTCAGCCCAATTTTCTGCTAGCTAGTGTCTACACTTTTACACAGTAGACTTTAAATATTAATAATATAATATATCGTATTTTGTTTCATTATCACTGTCCCAATGAAATATTTCACCAGCCTTCCTAACAACATCACTACATTTGCCCTGTGTAGCAAGACTGTAGCCTAGTCTCCTTGTCCTTTATTTCCACTCTTTCCTGTCCTTCTCTGTCTGTGCAGGTGACCTTTTTTCTCTTATATCCAAGCTGCTAGGCCAGAGCAAGGACATAGATCACAATTATAACTTCCAACCCAACGACAGAGCCCAGGCTGAGTGGGTGGCTCAGATTGACAGCTTAATGCTAAAGAATGACCTGGGCCATCCCAGTACCAGACTAGCCTTCCAAACCAGGGAGGATCCTGTTTTGGTGAGGGACAGAGTCCACAAATTCCATCAATTTGAGGCCACTGCCAAACTGCCAAGAAGCAAGCTGCTAGCAGAAGGACAAGGTGGGTCCTGGATGCTATTTTATTGTTGTCATTGATGCTGAAAACATCCCCGTTATTTCTTTTTGTAGGCCAGTTTTTTATGAAGTTATTTAAATATAATAATTATAATGTATGGAATAGTATATACACATTATTGTTAAATCAGAGCTTTACTGGCTTCTCCATATTTATTTTTCCCCTTGGCTGTTGCATCCAGTTTTCTCCTCACTTCTGTCTCCTCTCTTTATTTCTTTATTTGCTGTCATCATGGATATGTTACTCAAACTGGACCCTAGCAGCCCATGGCATTTTTTTAAAGTGTTATTTTCAGTCTTGTGTTTTCCATTTTCTAAGCAACTGTCATATGCCAGCTAGGCTTTCAAACAAAAGTGGGCGTAGAGGCACAGAGACAAACCTCTACACACACAAATCACCACGGCTCTGCTACAACAGAAGTGTAGCAAAAGTTATGTGTAAAACGACAGTCAGCTGAGAGGCCCACCTGATTTAACTGATGAGTTGTCTGTATTTCCAGCTCTTGGAGCAAAAAGTCTTGTATGTACAGTATGTTTGCACTTACAGATTTGTCTACACATTCCAAATCTAAATACAAAGTTCTCCGAATCTGATTATGTTCACACATTTGCAGATTCCTGTCCACGTTCACAAATTTAAGTATGTATTTAGGGATCCTTTTATACATTTATCTGATTTGTATGTATTGAGATACAGTTACACAACTAGCCACTCACATTTGTAAATATTTTTGCTGCAATAATTGTATTGAATTTAAGATTTACTCTATTCATCCCCTATTGGAGATTTTCTTTTTTCACTCTTTTTTTATTTTATACAGACACAGGCTGAAATCTCATTAATGCACATGCACTCATACACATGCAGGGCTTGTGGACATGCAAACATGTAGAGAGATGGTGGAGTGATGGCTGCCACGTTAGCAGTGCCCCAGAAGCAGTTTTGGGGTTAGGTGCCTTGCTCAAGCAGTGCACAGAAAGTGAAACTCGCACCTCTCCAGCTACCAGTACTCCTACTATGGTCTTTGGTCATTGTTTTGCTTCTCTGCCTTTGTTGGCGTATTCCTGCATATCTTGGCACACTACTGCCAAATGTAGGTTCAGTGGAACAGTGTCAAACCACTGGCAGGAATGGTAAATGGACTGCATTTATAATAGCATCTTTCTAGTCTTCTGACCACTCGGAGCACTTTGACACACATTCATACACTGATGAATGAAACAGAAACTAATTGATTCATACACCAACACACAGCATTGGGAGTGATTTGGTGTTCAGTATCTTGCTCAAGGACACTTCAACATGCAGCGGCAGGAGCCAGGGATCGAACCACCAACCTCATCCTTGTGCACTTGACGTCGTACCCATGTGTAAGAAAAACGCTTTGTAGTGCTACTAGAGTTCAAAACCTTATGGGGCATGTGGTTTTGTGACACTGACATATAAAAGATGTACAAAGGTGTACAAAACTCATTTGTTGAACTTTGAAGGACTGGAAAAGGATTTTTTTGCGCCAATCCCCATTTAATATTTGCTGGTACCAAGTCCTGATCCATTACTACTAAATTATGTATATATGTATATATATGGACACACACACACAATAGTAATAAAACTGCCTAAAAAGCTCTCTCTGTAATCTTTTTTGATCTTGTCCATGAAATGGAATTGAAATTGAATTGTTGATGATCTTCCTGCTTGCTTGACTGTTTGAATGTTGTTACATGATTGGACAGGAGTCAGCAACAATAGGAACCACACAGACCTGACGAGCTGGCCACAATTCAATTCAATTTTATTGTATAGCGCCGATTCATAACCAGAAAGATTTTATACATCAGAGACAGCTTTTTAGACGTTTCGACTATATACTCCTTATAACATTAACAACAGAAGGACAGAGACAGAGACAAAGGTGCACAGCAACAACAGTAGCAACAACTACACGTGACTTCCGCCACATTTCCGCAAACGCCATTCAAAAGTTAGTTTGTGTCTCTCACCAGGCTTTTTACATTTGTACTGGAATTACCAACTTTTTTTTGCCATCTGTGGGGGTGGCATCGTTGTGCTACTATAATACTACCTGTCGCTGACATAAGCAAACCCAGATTGTGGGTTTTGTTTGGAACCGCTCCGTCGCCAAGCTAACCTAGCTAGGTTTGTTTTTAGCCTGGTGGCTAGTGCTAGCTGACCCCTGAAGCACCTATCCCTCACCATGTCAGTGTGCGGACATTGTGGCTTCTTCTCAATAAACACCTCTCTGCTCTGGGCTCTACTTGCTGTGGCTACGGAGGCGCCAGTCTGCCCACCGAGTGCGCAGCCTCTACCACACACAACGAT